CTTCCTGATTTTGTAGTGTTTCACATTGTCGCCCCTTACCTCATCCCAATCACGAATAGAGAGGGTGTAAGCACCTTTAGTAGTTTCACTTTCTCTTACTAAGAATATACCTTGTTGATTCCCAGGATTCAAAAGTAATCATTCAGCATCTTTTCTCCCCATTTTGCCAAAATACCATTCTTCTGCCTGAATGGAATCTGCAGGCGCCACATAATTGCTGGGGATGTAGCCGTTCTTTCCTGTTGCGATTGATCTCGCTTCCCATCAGTCTCCTTCCGTATTGTTAATGATTTGAAATCTTTCACCCTTCTTAAATGAAAGGTCTTCTGTAGTTCTAGCTTCATAATCATATAAGGCCACAAATGTAGTAACACCACCTGTTAAACCAGCAGGATAAGAACTGGGCACCACTGAGAAGGAGGAAGACGCTCCCCCAAAAGGAGTCACCCCTGAGGATCCCCCAAATGGTGTTGGGAGAGGCTGCTGAAGTTCGCCCATGTGCCCTTCACTGAAGAGGCAGCCCGGGGCCACCGCAGTATGCTCTGCTCCCTGATGGCCGGCACCGCTACTGACAGGCTCCGGAGTGTTTTCAGTTCTGTATTTAATGGCTGGACTTTTGTCTGCCTTACTTTTAATGCAGCCCATTATCAAACCTGCGCTCCGGCCGCGCTCTCCCGAATCGCATCGGCCGCGGCTCCCAGCTCACAGGAGGCGGTGGCGGGCTGAGGTGACGCCCGGGGGGGCGGTTCGCTCCTCCACCTCCGGGGCGGGCAGGCGGTCGGGCGGCTGAGACCACGGCCAGAAATCTCACTTCTTCTGGCAAGAGCTCACTGGTAAAGATAGACACAAATTTAAAGTTACATATAGTCCTGCATACAAACACAACTACAGTTAGCATTGTGGTAGGTTGCACTTACTTTCATTCTTTCTATTGATCTGTTTTAGTTTTTAGTCAAGTAGCATATATTCAAATTTGTATCTTGTCTTTTAGTATTAACATGCCATCAGATTTATTTTGTTACCACCACCTTTATGTGCAATATCTTGTTTTTTAGATTGATGAAATCCTTATGGGAAAAATGGATGAGTTCTATAAAAAAAGTGGCAATTTTTACCAGAACACTGTGGGTGATCTGCTGAAGTTCATCCGGAATATAGGAGAACATATTGATGAGGAAAAAAATGAATGGTAAATATTGTTTTCATTTTATAAATCACATGTGAAATGAGAACAGTTTAAACATCTAGTCTCACATACATATCTGCACAGAAAGAATTTATTTTGATAAAAGAAGAGCAATTTTTCCTCTCTGTTGAGAAAAGGGTATCACTGTGGCCTTACAATTAATTATGGACAGGTCTGGCAGGCTCTTGTCTTCCTTTTTACTTTTTGCAGGGACCACTAAACCAGAAGCTAGTGATTTCTTGTGTGAGTAACCCAAGAGATCAGACAGCTGGATGAAAAAATTCTGCATTAACAAAAGTCAAACAACAACCCTATGTTGGTTAAATCAGCTTTTGATGCCAAAATTGATAGCAAAAAATGATAACACACACACACACACTCAAAGCTTTTTGGTTCAGAGCTCTTTTGAATTTGAAGTTTGTACATAAGAGATTGTAGAATTATATTACTTCTGTTTTATGAATGAAAAAGTTGAAGTTCAGAAAAATTAAGTGGTCAACATTTGCAGAATTACTAAGGAATTAAAAGAAAGGTCTTGCTTAATCAGATCCCCAAGTCCTTATTCATTTTTCACTAGAAATCAAGAAAGAGTTGTGAACCTTTGGGTCATATTCTGTGAAGGTGGGGTGCTTGGGGCAAGTGTGCTAAACCATTCATGTTTTCATTTCAGGATGAAGAAAATAATTGGGGATCCTTCCCATTATTTTCAGAAGACATTTCCAGATTTGGTGATCTATGTCTATACAAAACTTCAGAACACTGAATACAAAAAGCACTTTCCCCAAATCTGCAATCCAACCAATCTGCAGTTTGTTCAAGCCAGCAGGTTGGCCAGATCAGAGTGCTGAGCCTTTCATGTTCAAGTTGCCACTTAGAGGTTGTGTGGCTCTTGGCAAGTAACAACTCTCTGACCTTTTATCTGGCCCATTGCCCATGAGGGATGAGCTGGATATCTGATGTGTCAGTTTCTACCACAGTGCACTCCACTCAACTGCTTTAGTCCACAAACTGCTTTAGTTCATTATATTTTATTAATTTTATTTTAGTTAGAGTCTCACTATGTAGTTCAGGCTGGCCTTGAACTCACTGTATAGCTCAGGCTGGTCTCAGACTTGTGGCGATCCTCCTGCCTCAGCCTCCCGAGTACTGGGATTGCTGGTGTGTGGCACCACACCCAGCTCTGCTTTAGTTCATTTTAGGGGGTAAAACTTGTGGGCAGGAAGCTGCTCTGAGATTCTTCCTCTTAATTCTACCAAAAGAGAATGTGAAGCCTTCTAAGCCAGTATGTTTTACTGCAATTATCTCATTTAATTTTCCCAATGACCTTGTAAAACAGAATTTATTATCCCCATTTAAGAACTCAAGGCTCAGACAGTTTGAGCTGCTTGGGCAGGATCATACAGCTTGTATGAAGCACTGTATAAATGGATCCTAGTGTTATTGTTACCTTTCACTTGGGCACTTGAAAAACTTAAATTAGCAGCCCAGAGCTCCTTTGATAAGACTAAGAGCAATATGCCAAAGGGGTTCTGGGAGACTCATTCATTCATTCATTCAGGGTTTATTCAGGACCAATGTAAGTCTAATTACATTCCTCCTAGAAGCACCTGCACTGGTTTTCCATGACTTTCAAGGAGAAGTTCTCAACTTGGGGCAACTTAGCTCCTCAGAGCATGTGGCAATGTCTGAAGAAGTTTCTGATGTCACAGTTGAATAGGGGCAGACCCTGGTGGCATTTAGTAGGTAGTTATTCCACAAGGCACTAGACAGCCCCACAACACAAAATTATCCAGACCAAAATACCAGTGGTGCCAGGTTGAGAAAGCCTGTCTTGAGGGGCTGGGACACTTTTGAACTGCTTGGATCCAGGAGTATGTGGACCACTCTACAGAGCAGTGACACAAAGTTTTTATTTATTTATTTTTTA